CGGCCGACGACGAGTCCTGATAAACTGTCAGTCGAGTTAATCCATTTTCACGGAAAATAGTTCAACCGAACGGGTTTTCCATCAGATGAAGAGGGAAACTTCTCTCGATCGAATGAATCGCCGGCGGTGCTTTAATCGTCTCTCGTGCGGCCTCGATAATCCATTTCGACGGTGCATCTCCTGCCTCCTCATCGCTCTCCGGTGTCAACAGGTGGCACGGCGCACCTGTCCGGAAAGGCCGAAACGCGGTGCGCAAATAGTGCCGATAAACTGAACGGAATCGTGGAGCTCAAACTGCCACGAACTCTCGAACGCGTCGTTCCTTCCTTTCGTTGGACATGCGCGCTTTTCCTTCGTTGCACGCTTTTCTTTTCGTCCTCGCACGATCACGCCTTGACAGGATTGAAAATCCCGACGAAGGAGCGAACGATTGCGCATCATCTCATCGTTACTCACGTTGGCGTGACGGTGATTATATGAGCCATTTATTTTGAAAGTGGCCTAAGCTCATTTGTCAATTCTTTTTGTTGACTGGAGTAACGTGTACAACTTGAAGTTAGCTGTCATAAACAACATTTTGCGGTTAAGTATATTCAGAGTATATGATAATTTTTGACACATAAATTTTCGCAGTTTTTCAATAATTAAAAACATTACTTTGAAAGTGGCCTAAATCCAATCCATTATTGATAATGTCCGAATGTGCGTCGTAGAAATGTCATTAAAGAAAAATAATTTACTGTTTGTCCCCCAAGAAAAGTTCTGTGCGAGTTCGTTCCTTCTTAGCGATGAATTAAAGGATTTCTGTCAGTAATTTCACGTATAATGCATGAGGTTGGTTCAACAGAAAGTAATATTCGTGTCGGTGCTTTACATGATGTACGACTTTCAATTGTCTTGTCCGCGCTATCCCTTCATCAAGGACCTGTCTTGCTGTCTATGAGCGAAAGAAAGCTTCCGTAAAGCCGCCACGTTAAATCGATTGTTAATCCGACATTAATTCGGATTATTTCGTCGAATTTCCTCGCTGTTTATTTGAAAAAAGAAAAGGAAAAAAAGAAAAATCTATAAGACCGATCGGAGAAATTATTCGATTTTTATCATTCGTTTGTTTAATTATGAGGATTCCGTCATCTAATCATCGATTGTTCGCCACTGTTTATTTAATACACCGCGCTGTTTTTATAAATAAATCTGCTTCTATTAAGAAAAGCTGCTTCTGTTAACAAACAGGCACAGGTGTAGTGAGGTAAAATTAGAAGATAAGGTGTAATAATAATATAATCGCGATGATATAATAATAATGGTGGAACATATAAGGTAGCGTGGTGCCACCTCGCGCTATCCGCCGGGATTAATCGAACCCATACCAGTCATTACACAATGCATCGTCTTTATAATGCGTGGTGTCTACTGCCATCTATGTTATTAATATTGCCAATATTATGTGCAACGGGAAAGATAGAAAGAATATTTTGTCTAGGTCTCTTCGATATTCTCGGCCAACTCGGACGAGCTTCCACGATGATGTGGCGTGAACTGAAGCTAATTAGTAGAAGAAAAGAAATATATGAATTGATGTTCGATGAAGAAAAGTTATGTTAATTTAAATATCATATTGAAGAATCGGACGCGTCATGTCTCTTTAATTATTTAATTTATCAAACAGTTATGCAAAAGCGAGTGATGCAACGAAGATTAAATATATAGGATTCTTCTTAGCGGCCGAGGTGCCGTGTCAAATGAGCTTATACGTGACAATCAGGAGGGGTTCTCATAAGCCGATTAACGAAAAAAAATGGGAGGGGGGAGAGAAAAGAATTAATAAATGAAAAAAAATTTAGAAAAATATATTCTCTCACTGTCGGTTGCTCGCTTGTTTCTTTATTTGACATCCCGAACCATGGATGGTTAAATAATTTGACACATGACATAAGAAAAGACGAGAAGTACAGCAAGTGCAAAGTGGGATAACCATTTGCAAAAATTACAAAATAATTTTATACAACAACGAACTAATCAAAATAACAGCCGATTATATTCCATGTGTGTTTTTAGCTCGCCAGCGGCGTTTAGTTACGTAACAACGTAGGGAACCAAAGCCGAATCACCAAGACGGAGTAAAAGGTAGACGTCCTTGTCTGTTTTTTTAGCCGTCCAAGGAAGAGAGCAAGCGAGTCGACCGCTCGAATACCGGAAGGGATCCTCGGGAAACGTATCGCGAAATTTCGCGGAAATACGCCGCTTCAACGAAAGAACGAATGAACACGCGGTAAAATTGTAAAATAATAAATAAATAAATAATATAAATAAATATAAAATAAATATAATATAAAATAAATAATATAAAATAAATAAATAAACAATAAATCGTAAATTCGTAAAATAAGTAAAATAATAAATGGTAAATTCGTAAAATCAGTCAAGTCCATAAAACCTTTTACAATCCTAAACTTTACAATCCTCTGCTCTTCGAGACGGTGGGGAGATCTTCGAGGGCTTCCGCCGTCCGAGGACGCCCTTAAAACCTTACAAATTTGCACGTATATCGCATCAGTCGCCTTGTAAAGCTTCCGGAAGTCAATATCACAGGATGCGCGCTTGAGACGAGCAGTCCGCTGAAATTCGCCGTGGAAGACGCTCTGCCGCGGTTTATCCGTATTGTTTTCCCCGAAATTCGGCCTAATTCGACCGATCCGTCGATCGAGGCACGATGAGCACAACGCAGACCTGGTGCGTGATCTTTGTGATGGCCGCCGCGTGCACCTGCGGCGCGCGCACGGAGTGCAGCGAAACCGCGCAAATTTCACTGCTGACGAGCGTGCACGATGACCCATCGTGCGTGAAACCGTCGACCAAGGGCGTTATGCTCTACGAAGCCGCCGGGCTGCTTGCCGAGGCTCACAATAACCGGACCGACGATTTCGAGATCGGTAAATCCCCGGCTTGGCTTAGCACGGAGGAAAACAAACACACCAAGTTCGGTCCAACTTATCCAACTACGACCACGTTCAGCGGAACGTTTGTTTTATAACTTTGTTGGGAATTTGCTGAGCTGAGATCGGATTATTATTTTACACCCGGGGAAATATGCCAATCTCAGCACGGAAAACTTCTAACGTTTGTAAAATAAACATTCCCCTGAACGCGGCCAATGAACGGACAATGAAATGCGTTTTGATCGAAAGAAAACAGAATCTTTGACTCTTTCGTGAAGTGTGTGAAATGACAGATTTTGTCAGGACGGCGTAAAATTTGGTGTCTCGGCAAATTATTTTTCTCCGTTTACATACCCTCGAAGTAGAATAGCCGATCTCTGATCGTTCGGATCAATCTGACAACGCGCTTCTCAACGGTACATCTCGATAACCTATCAAAAAGTATCAGATTCGATCGCACATTGAGAAAAAGAAATTGAAATTTTGCGAAGTAAATATCTTTTGTAACATTTTCTCCGATGTTTATTAATTAGAAAAAAATTTGACTGTGATGACGGAGCATATATATTTTCACGAAATATACTTGAGTTTTCTTATTAATTGCTCATTTGCTACTGAATAAAATTTTATTACGCTGTATTTAAATAGGCATTTTATTTCTGCGAAGCTTATATTTCGCGAGTAAATTTGTCAGTCTTCCTTTCTCAGTGTATTACGAGGAATCAATCTGCTTGCAGGGATCACCGTTTTGGACACGTGCGGCAACATAACGGGCGCTCTGAAGGCGACCATGAAGGCTCTCGTGTGGGCGGATATCAACTGTTTGCATCCACCTCATTACTTAGGTAAATCAATAATAACCTCCCTTTTTCTCTTTATCTCCCTTCGCGAAAGTATCGCGGCCTAATTTCAATTTCTATCGCGTCTACGTCGGATAAACTTGTCCTGCGTTATGCTCAGGAATTATCGGGCCGGATACCGCGGCCAATGCTGAAGCGGTGCGCAAAGTGACCTCGATACTGCAGGTACCGCACATCGTTAAGAAGCCGTCGATCTCGCCGTATCTGCATCCTCTGGCGGAGGAATCGAATTCCTACCTGGTGCAGGTGCGTGTGTGCGCGCGCGTGAGTACGTGTGCGTCTAGATTTTCCAATATAGATAATCTCGATTAATAATCTTGATTGATCTCATTATTATTCGCCTTGAAACTTCGCTCGCTACCGAACCAAATATGAGAATCAGCGCTCCGCGGTCTCAGGGAACGACCGAGAGGCGCTGAATTCACCGTGTCTTTGCGTAACTCGCGCTATTGCAATGATAACGCGGCTCTTACGCAACGTTTGAAAGTATTACGACGATATATCGAAATACGGCCGCGGATTTGCCGCTACGTACGTTAATTCGAGCGTAGCGTTTAATTAAGCGCCGCGACGGGTTCCGATCTCGCCGAGATCTCGCACGCGTTACATTTACTGCGTCTTTCGCTGGAAGATCTCTACCAATTTGTCCCGTTTTCCCGCAACTTTCTCTTCCTCCGAACATCGCTCGTACGCAAATAACGCGAATGAGTACTTACAAAGAATGTAATGATAATTAACTGGAAAATGTCAAGGCTTATCGATGGTAATAATTATTCCAAGCGACAGCGTTAGTTTTTTACTTTTGATTCTACGTATAAGTCAAATCTATCGTCGTCTTACCCTGTAATTAGCGAATTGATAACTGCGGAACGCAATCGCGACATAGTCTGTCACGGGTGGACCGGCGGGCGCGCGAATAAATGCAGTTTGTATCGAGTGCTCGCGAGATTTCAAACCGCTCAAGCGACAGAAACATTATAATTACTTTCGGTAGCAGCCATATTTTATACACGGAGAAAAGATTGTGGTGAAAATTATCACACACAAATTTTGCGAGTTGAATTCTTCAGACGACGTACTTTATTGTACACATCGCTAAAGATTATAACACCCATCCTAATTTCAATCATAATTCCAGTATGATTCAACGTTGCAAAATTTACGTGGTAATTTTCACTACACTGAGAAAAAGATTTTTTCTGATTTAATAAATGATATTGCGTCCAAACAAATTTCATCATTGGCGTGCTTCAAAGGAACTAATGTTTCGATTAATAATTACGATTGTTGAACTTTTCAACGAATATGTATTTTTATCTTAAATAAGAAATTTGTTTGAAACGAAAGATCATTTTCTTATGGAGAAATTATTTCCTTCATTTCACACATTTGTTGTAACCAAATAATATTTGGTTAAAAGATATTATTTCAAATAATAACGTTTTTAAGCGTTTTTTAAGCGTTAAATAATAGAGTTTTCTTGAATGGGACAATACAATTTTTACTCAAACAAATAATATTATAAGTATACGTTATTTCCAACTGAAATAAATTTTAGTCAAATAAATAGTAATAATAAATACTAAATCTAAAGAAAACTTTTTTCTGCATAGAATATTTTCTCCGAGTAACATATATATATATATATAATTATTATTACTGACCTTGTAGTAACATTTACTAAAAAAAATATCCTCCTAACTATTTTTACGGTTAACATAAAAAAAAACGGATATGGTTGGCATGGAAAATAACTATGATTTTCCATCAGTGTGGATTGTTTCCTTCGCAGGCGACCTTGAAAATAATAGAGACTCTAAAATGGCGGTCCTTCAGGTTGGTGGCCAGTGTGGATGGCGAGAACGACGAGGGCGTGCAGAATATCGCGAGGAAATTGACATCGAGCGCCATCGCTAGGGATTTGTGCGTCGTAGTGCATGATGAGGCAGGTGTGAGATCGTGTTTATCTTTTCCCTTCTTCGATCGCATCGGTATCGCGCGATTCGAATCGTCCCGCTTCTGTACTTCGAAACGACGCGCTGCTTCCACGAGGAGGAGAAGGTAAACCGTCGATCACCGCGCTTAATTATTCCAATGACGCAGATAACACATCGCGCGTCGTGCATATCGGAAAACCGGAGGTGAAGCTTCTCCGGGAGCCCGCAGACGCTACCGTGCTGATCGTCGGCGAAGCGGGCGACACGCGGGAACGCTTAAATCGCATGAATTCCAGCAACACTTTGCTGCTGCTGGAGGACTCCAGGTAATTCATTCGCGGCCGTGATTTATTCTCGGCTCGCGCAATTTGCCGCCACGCTCGCGGCGTGATTACCAAAGAGGATAATCATCGTCAGGCGATTCAATGTGCAGCCCCAGAGTTCTTTAAATGCGTTACCGAAACGACACGATGATAATATGGACGTGCACGATCGAATCCGTAATTATCGTAATCTAGTACTCTCGTGAATCCGTACGCGAATCCTTAATAAATTTCTGGATCGCGATTACACACTCTGGGAGAAAGAGAGGGGAGGGAAGCAGAAGAAGAGGAGGAAGAGAGAAATGACGCGTAATTGAGCGCGGAAGGTCATCTTCTTTGTTGTTCCATTAGATATTAACGACGACGGGATCTCAGCCGGTTCATTACAAGTAATTCATGATGTCCGATTTTTTTGCGTCATTAACGCGCAGCTGCATCATTTGTTTCAATGCGTCGTGAATTTCTCAATCGGAGATACGCGCGAATATGTTCCCTCTCGGCGGAATTTTATCCTAGTCGGCCGGTTTCACTGTTCGAAAAGAAGAAATGGAAGAAAATTCGCTCGTATATCGTATATCGATTGACTGGAAGTTAACCGCACTGAAAGAAATTACAGTTGTTTCCGGCCGCACCCTCTTTTTCACGTCGCGCCGAGATTTACAATAAATCTTCAATGTTGTGGCTGCAAGTTTATGTGAACCCATTTTCTGATACTTTCCTCAATATCTCAAAGTTAAGCATTTAAGTGTGCACTTTACGAGTACTTTCTAAGTCTAGAGAAATTGGTCGCACTAGCATTTGAAACCAACTGGAAGCTAATTAGAAAGCTACCATTAAATTTTTTACCCGTTCACAAAAAAAACCTGTTCTCTAATTTTTTTTTAATATACTTGTGATTCCTGATTTTTTATTTTTGGTTTTTTGATTATTGATCTCTTTTGTCTTAGAGCTGTTATTTGTGGTCTGTATAAAGTTTTGAACAGTTTTGTCTGAGTTGCCTTCTTCATTTATTTTCTTTTTTTTTCCAAAGAAGTTTTTCTCTTTCCTCTCATTATTTTCTGAGTGTCTCATCGGGATTTTATTCTTCATGCACACCTCATGCGCTTAGCTTTTAGTATGTAGCATCCGGTTTTAATTCTTTCGCAATTTATTCCTAATATTCTCTCTGTATTTCCGTTACATCACGTTATTTTTCATTCATATTTCTTCAGATTACACTTGCTAGAAAAATGATTATCCTAACTATAATTTTTTCATTTATATGCGACCCACAAATCTTAAAGTACACCTCCGCATGTGTGGCAACCGCAAATTATATATGGTCTGCCCGTTTTAACTGAACTGGCCGCACTAGTTCAAGAAACTTGGACACACATTGAAGCGTATGAAGCATACGTACGAGATTCTCACAGTATGCGTAAATTTCTTGAACTAATGCGGCCAGTTCAATTAAAGAGAACAGTTACTTTCGGCGAGAAACGAACACTAGGGAGAAAAATATAGTTATTTTCGAGGACAACAATATCCCTTTTTTTTATTTTAACTACAAAAATAGCGGCAGCAACATGCGCGTAAAGTTATTGTCATTAACGCTATGGTAACATTCATTAGAAAAATAGTTCTCTCGACTATTTTTATACGGTTGAAATAAAAAAAAAGGATATCGTTGTCCCCGAAAATAACGATATTTTTCTCTCACTACGAGGTTATTACTAACAACATTGCAGCAGCGCTCATTAGAAAAAATGACTCTTTCCCGACTGTAATTACATCACCATAATTGCACGGTGCAATTACATTACACAGCCACAGATAGTCACAGATAGTCACAAGTAATCACAGATACCAAGCGTTTTCCTCCCGGCGCATCTTCGATGCTGATGCGTCGTAATTTCGCGAGACTTGACGATTATATTATTCGAAAAAAGGAAATATTTTTCTCAGTGTTTTTGTTCCGATTTCGTGCCGATCGGCCAATCGCGCGGCCGAAAGATTTTAAGCGCGCGTCCGCGCTGAATCGCGATTTCTGCCACTTCCGTCGGGCTCAATCGAGGTTAAGGATTCTCGACAAACTGCCGTTGGAATTACCGATACTGTTTATCCTATTTTCTCTCTCTCTCTCTCTTGCTCTCCGGCATTTTAATGTTTCGTTTTCCGGAACAGCGGCAGCTGTCCGAGGTCATTCTTAGACCGGCGCGGAGAAATCTTGTTAATTAGCGCGCGCTCGCGCGAAAAAATTTACATTAATGAACGGCCCGACGCTGATATTACGATGTGAGTACGATATTACCGCGCGAAGTCCAGTTTCCCAGCATTTTTATCGCAACTTCACTGCGAATTAATGCGGTTTCCACACGTAATCGTTACGCTCGTACGTAACGTGACGATGCTTAATGCAACACAGCTGAAAGTTGCTGCCTGTGCGGATCGCGCAAAAAATCGAGTTATTCATCATCGTCTAAAACAGCACGTTTGAAATAATGTCGATAATTAGTATAAGGGGCTGCTCGTGAACGCTGCAATCGCGGAATCGCAACTGAGTGGCAAAAGAGATCGCGCCGATTTTGTAAAGAACGATAGTTGCGGAATTGCGGTGCGCGTTTAACCCTTAAATACGTGATTTTTTATCTTTTTTATAAAATAATTTGAATGAATGTGAAACAGGATTGCTATTTATTGAGATATGAGCTGAAAAATCATACGATGCAGAACTACGTCATGATGCATTTAAGAGCGTTATTCGATTCTCTTCACCGGCAGAATTGTAATCGACGGTTTGGAGCGGAGAGTCGAAAACTCGCGTTGGTGGACGTCCGAGAGCGGCCGAGGAAAGTACGACGCCAAGGAGTTGAGGCAAGTCAGATGGCTCGAAGACGCCATAGGAATTTACACGAAAGCTCTGAAAGCTTTGTGGTGAGTATCGAGTGAAATCCGGTGTCGACCGATGTAGCACATAATATGGACAAAGACTGTAAATATAAGACGTGTGATAGAAGTGAGAACAAGTCGAGAATAAGATTAAACTGACAGCCGGGAAACTCCCGGAGTTGCGATTTCCTGCAAAGCAATTTTTTACAAAGAACGCTAATCGCGCAGAAACAATTTATTATCGTAGCAAAAACAAGAGATGCAAAAGCCAGATAAATCCCCTGGACTGGAATCACGTGGTGTCGAGCGTCTTAATGGCGCGCAACGCGGAATCGCAGGCCGCGCCAAGGCTCCTCGATCTGTCCGTGAAGACGAAGACGGGCGAGCTGGAGTATCTGGGTGGTGTGATCGTCCGCGAAGACAGGGCGACAATTTACTGGGGCGAACGAAGCGAACTGTCGCAGGAGGAAAGCAAGAAGGAAACTGAGATGAATAATGGTACAGGGGAGGACAATTACGAAGACTTGCCGCCCGCGTTCAGGGCTCTTCTGAATCGAGAGAACGAACCGCGATCGAGATGCGCCACCATCATCAAGGAGACCAGGTTGCACGGGAAGGACAACCAGGCGGTGCAGGTCCTCGTCTCTGGAACGGACGACAACGAGTGGTGGACAATGGTATTCTTTTGCCGGAATCATTCGATCGGGAATCTATCGCGGATTTTTGCCTACCAATATTTTCCTCCTGCTCCTACCATCGAATCAATATTTTATTTAAATATTTAAATAATATTAATATTTTCTTTACGTATAATACTACTTTTTATACTTTTTATACGTATACGTATTTTCTTAATATTTATTAAATAACACGTATTTTCTTAATATTTATTAAATAACATTTAATATTTGAATACTTAAATTTACACTTAAATAATACATATACGTATTTTCTTAATATTTAAATAACACGTGAACGTTTGAATATCAATAACAGTTAATAATCAATGATATATTTTTATTAATTATTTTTATCTCCTGGTAATTAATAATAACAATTGATATATGTTGGTGATCGTCTCATCTGCTGTGTTAAAGAAAGTCACATATTTGAAGTCCCTCAAAAATTAATTGCGCCAGTCTTACAATGAGAAATCCGACGATTCTCGTTATTTATCGCGCGTTACTTCCGAGTGTTGCAGGTGTGCACGGTGAGCGGTGTCGGAGTCGCGATGTTCCTAGTGGGTATCCTCGCTGTTTATATTATCTACACGAACATACGGGGCCCGCGTTGTCCCAAGGGTGAGGATAAGTTGGACAGGGACACCAGCTTGCGAAGGGTGGGTAGCGATCGGGAACTACCGGCGACTTTAATCAGCCGTAACCAGCAAATGTCGCGGGTGCCGCAGCGGACGGGCAGCGAGAGGAGCGTCTCCGAGAAGAGCGTCTGACGTCACAAGAACATCGTCGGAAGTGGATGACTTGCGTGAATAATAAACGAGCGAAACGTTTACTGGTCTCTTCTTTATCATTCTCTCTTCCTTTTTCTTTCCGGAGGAAAAACGTTCGGGAGCGAGTCGGCGCGAAACCAGCTTCATCGAACATCTAGTTCGCCGCTTGATTCGCTAGCTGCGCTAATTGCACGCGAGTACTCGATTGTGTCGGATAAATAAATGACACATCGAGTGATTATACTAATAAGAGACTCTCGAGACGAGAAAAAATTGAAAATTGCAAAAGTGAATAAATTCACTAAGTGTAGGCCAATAAAATTCTAAGTATTCCAGCAAACTCGCTCATTTTTGTCACTTTTGTCACTTTTGTCATTTTCATTTTGTCCTAAAAACCGTAATAGTCTCTCTAACATGTTGTTTCGCAAAAATATTTACAATTAATTTGAAAGTAATTCCAGGAAAATTCTAGCAATGTACTTTTAGAGAATAATAATATTTTGAAATGAGCTTTAACACTTTGCGGTCCACCCGAAGACGTTTGACTAATGTGTTCGAACTTCTCGAAGGCATAATACGAAAGTAGCCGCGCTTATTTGAATGATTTTCTTCTTATACAAACGTTGATATCTGAAAAACTATTGAACCTAGCGTATTCAAAAAACTTTTATCGTGAAGTTCATTTTTTTTCTCTATTATTAAATATCATAAAAGTTAACTTTTCTGTGAGAGATACTACTTTCTGAGACCATCAAAATCATGGTCTATTTTGAGCTGAAAAAAAGTCAAACGTAGATATAACCGATTTTTTAAGCATAAATTATATCAAGAGGATATAACCGATTTTTTAAGCATAAATTATATCAAGAGGATTAATAAAAGAATAGAAAACATACTTCTTTTCTCGTTTACATGTGCTTGTAAACATTGTTGTTTTCTCCGCGGATATAAATTAATATTCTCATCGTCTGATGATTCTAATGAGATTCGTCTCACGACACGTCAACGAAATGTCGGTAATACATCATCTATGACCATATAATATGAAAGCAAATTATATAAAATACGGCATAATACGAAACCAATAAATAAATAAATAAACAAATACAATTAGAGAGTACGTGTACGATTGATAAATAATAAATCAATGACTGACTGTAAGAGGCGTATTTGCCTCCCACATCTTAAATTTCTTTATCTGAAGAAAAATCTGTGTTAGATAACATTTTTGGCTTTTCCTCAGCTCACAATAGTGTTTACACCGCTAAAATCTGTCGATCGACTAGAATCGAAAGACTAGCTCCGAAAGAACAATCCTAACACTTGGAGCGACCATCACTTGTTTTGACATAGCTACGAATCGCTATTCATCTGTTTCGCATGTTACCAATTGCTTAAAACCGCATGTCTCGATTTATTGATAAAACCAATGTTGTCAGATCGTCGACGGACAGCAAAGTGTTAAGTAAATCCTAAGGTAACCGTCGGCAGAGAACTCTGTTGCCGAATGATCCGAGCCGCTTATTCGTGGTTTCATCACTCTCGTGCTGTCACGTCGCGAAAATCGGCCTTCGTCTTTCATTCGAGTTTACCGCATGAAACAGTGGAATGAAATTTCCGGCATGTGTGGAAGCTCGGAGCGCGCGCACCGCACGCACACACATACACACATAATAGGGTAAGGTTGCCGCGGATGTGACAGATTAAGACGGTAAAATGGGGTTATGTCCGACTGGATGGGTGGATAGATACCGGCTATTGTTCTCGCCACTTGACGCAATCAAACAGCCAATTAAGGTTGCGTAACACGCAAAATATCCACCTAACGCTCACCGTCGCGACCGTGCAGAGATAATCAGATGTGGGTCCTGCGGCCGAAGGAACGCATCGTCGTTGCGCGAAATGCGATACACTTACGCTGATCGTAGAGAGAAAGAGAGAGAGAGAGAGATAATCATTGCGATGCGTTGCGTGCGTTCGCGCGTTAATCACATCAGTCACAAAAAGGTTGCGACACCCATTTTTTTTATCAATTTTATAAATTTTTCTTCTTGCTCTTTTATTTTGTCCTAGCTGCTTTTCTCAATTTTATATTTCCTTAACTGCCTTCACTATTTCTATCTCTAACTCTTTTTCTTCTTCTTGCTCTTTCATCCTATCCTAGCTGCTTTTCTTAATTTTATGTTTCTTTAACTGCCATCACTATTTCTATCCCTAACTCTTTTTCTTCTTCTTGCTCTTTCATCTTATCCTAGTTGCTTTTCTCAATTTTATATTTCCACAACTGCCATCACTATTTCTATCTCTAACTCTTTTTTTTTCTTGCTCTTTTACGTCCCGTGTCTAACAGGACAATTTGCCATTTAATAATTCTCAAAAGATTTACGTTTTACTATTTGGATACACATTGCGAAACTCATCGGGAAAAAGTGTTGCAACTTTTTCGTGATTGACAATACATACGCAATCGATGACACACGAACGAACGCCGGCTACGCAAATAATCCAATCTGACCCGACGGGTTATGGCATTTAATGGCGAAATGCCAATAAATTAGCCGCGGGGGATGAAAAGCTACGAGAGTCGCTTGCAAAATATTCGCGGAACGAGAAATGAATACAGCGGAGTAAAAAACAAACGGGAGGAAACGTAGTCCAGAACGCGGAACGGCTAATCTCGCGTGGCCTCCGGATTGAATGGCCCGCGGAGATTCAATCGGAGAAAGAGAAAGAAAGAGAAAGAGAGAGAGAGAGAGAGAGAGAGATCACGATAAATCGCGGGCTAGTTCACCGCACTCCGTGTGACCTATTCCCGTTTCATTTACATCGCACACGTGCGTCCGTCGTGTTTCATTTACATTGTGCATGCCCGCTCCTTCTCGCCGATCTCGCGCCATTCATAAAACAGCAACGAGTTTCCCAGCTGCTCGGAGAATCGGAGCGTGTGTCATCCGGGAAACGTCGAGCGCCGCGCGGAAGAGGAAACCAGCCGATCGTGGAGGCGGTCGCGCCGGGTATTCCCTACTTTCGAAGGTGCGACTCAGCTCACTTTGTCGGGGACACGTGTGTCACGAGGAAAGACATCACTCGCTGCCGAGTAACGGTTTCTTTTTTTTTACTTAAAATCGAGCGACCGTCACGTATTATTACGCACCGCAGCGCAGACCTTTGACTTTTTCCTCCAGAAATCTTTCATTGACTTCGGACTTTGCTAATTCGGTGACCAACCTCCGACCGTATTCGGGTAAATATCGTAAGTTCCTCGAGTCTTGAATTTTAAGCTTAATCTTAAACTTAGATCTATGTGAACGAATCCATATTATCTTCGGTTGTCCGCTAAAACGTAATCCGTGCACAGAAAAAAAGTGAAATCTAGAATCTGGTAAACGTAATTGCCTGTCTTTCATCTTAAATCAAGTATTTTTATCGGTTTAAGTAGATTTTAATGGCTGTAATAAATATTTACTTGATCGCACAGGGAAAGTCGAACGCTTCGCGTGTAACACACGACGGGGAAAAATTCCTCGCTGATTAATACCACCGTAGATATGAAAAGACGATGTTTCAATGGAACACGAAGGCAAACGCGACTCGTGGGTCTTGAGTTCCGCCGCTTTCCTCGAGAGTTCAACAAACTTCGCGAGCCTACAGCACGTCATACCATCGGAGGCAGTGCTACGAGGAAAATACTTGGGATTTGCGATTGATAATTACGTGGTGAAATAATTATAGTCGGGAAACCCGCTTTTCTAATGAGCGCTGTTACAATATTGCTAATAATTATCTCATACGCATGTCGCTATTGTTACTTGTCAGATCAGTCAGGAGATACGCTTAACGCCGAATGTAACTATAATTTGCGGTGATATTATCTTTCGTCTCAAATAAATTTTTTATTTAAGATAAAGATACATATTCGTTGAAAAGTCTAGCAATCGGACTTATTAATCGAAACATTAGTTTCTTGGGGCATGCCGTGGATGAAATTTATTTGGATGCGATGAAATTGATGAAATTTGAAGAAATCCTTTTTCTCAGTGTATACATATGTAAAAACAAGGGACCACACAGTTATAAATTACGTTTTTGTAAGCAAATTGTTACAAGATAAGGTGGTGGGATTAAAAGTAGGTGACAAGGTTGTTTCGTATCATTTTCTAATTTAAATTCTTTGCCCTGGCGAGAGACATTAAACTGTTTATGTTTGATGTCCACTGCCTCTCGCATTGTTGATTCCTTCGAGAGCATTCTCGAAATTCGTTATTGTTGACTATCGCTGCCTATATAATCGGCAGCGGCTCTCGATAACATGAGCTGACCTTTGACTTTAACGGAGCTAGACTATCCGATCACATACAAGACACCGCTCGCAATTGATCCTTTTTAAGTAAACCAGCAAGATTAATAAAGAGTTCGTTAATCAGCGCCTGTACCATCATGCTCGCAACCAGGAAATTAAGCTAGAGGTTCTATCTCGTTTGCGTCAATCGTGGACTTCCCGAGGCTACACGCAAAATCATCAACAAGGTGGACTTGGACCACTTGCTAGCGGCAGTGGAGCTGGATATTGAAGAGGACGATAAGGACAAGAAAGAAGAGAACATTGCAGGAGAGGAGGAAGAAAATCAGAAATAAGAAGGAAGAACGGTTATTCTGGAATGCAGGGACAATGGCATTCCGAAGTAAATATTATATATGGTTAAGATTTTACTATAACATTTTCATGCCTCCATAAATATTCCCTCCATCCTAGCTGCTTTTCTTAATTTTATTTTTCTTAATTTTATATTTCCTGCCAACACTTTCATATCAATTGCCATCACTATTTCTATCTCTAACTCTTTTTCTTCTTTTTGCTCTTTCATCTTATCCTAGTTGCTTTTCTTAATTTTATATTTCTTTAACTGCCATCACTATTTCTGTCACTAACTCTTTTTCTTCTTCTTGCTTTTTCATCTTATCCTAGTTGCTTTTCTTAATTTTATATTTCCTTAACTGCCATCACTATTTCTATCTCTAACTCTTTTTCTTCTTCTTGCTCTTTCATCCTATCTATCCGACCATCCATTGTATCTTCTTCCGTACCTCCAAACACTTTCATGAGATGAAACCTCCATTTCTCTTTTTCTACGTTATTCTCTTTCCATTCTTCCGTCCTTCTCCTTTTTTATTTATGTATCTCCACATCTTTGATGTCATCTTTGATTCCTTATTCAGTATCCTCAATTCCCTTTCTTCTTCCTCCCTTTCCCTTCGTCTCTGCTTTAGATATTCCCTCAGTCTTTTTTTCTTCTCTAATTTCAATGAGATTTCCTTCAGCGTGTCGGTGAGATCGTCAGGACGCGTTTCCCGGACGAAACGAACCACCAACGATTTCGAAGCTGTCGAGTTTTGCTGGCGATTCCGTTCCCCTCAAGGTGCGGAAACCTGCGCACATTCTTATTGATCGCATCCATTGTGTCAATAGGAAGATTACGGTGCAATAGGAAAATGAATGTCTCGTTATCTTGGATCCTCTCCCCTCCTTTCATCACATTAGCACGAGCTGGCGGACTGGGTGACTGATAACGAGTAACGACGTACGCTAAATGGAACATACCACGTCGATTTTGTGTCAACTCATCAATAGTCAGTTCGCCTGCTGGTGCTTTCAACGTCGGCCTCGCGAAACGACGCTTTTCCCTTCTTCGCTCTCCTTCTTTCTTAAGGTGATCGCGATTGCCAATCAAACCGAATCACGATCTCGGGAAAACCTGACCGCAGCCGATCAATCAGCGTACTATACATCTTCATGCTTCCACAAACACTCCCTCCACTTCAGCTGCTTTTACCAATTTTATCTCCCCAACTGCCGCCACTAATTCTATCTCCAACTCTTTTACTATTTCTTCTTCCTCGAATTCTTTTCCTCCCTCTTGCCCCGTCGTATCTTACCTGTCCGACCATTCATTAGATCCGCGCGATACTTCATTAAGTCAATTGCTGCGAGCCAGCTGCATATTTCACATGTACGCAACGTTCAATTAGCCGCGCTGGATTTAATAATCCAAATGGATCTAATTGCCGGAACATAGTAAGTACATTGAAACTATTGTTCGGATGACATAGCACGTTAGTTTTCACGGTAATGTCCCGAGACGAGACGTCCGGTATCAAGAAATGTATCGTCGTGTCGCGTTGAATCATCCATCAGCGTTTTCCACCTTTTACTTATTTCCATATGCCTCCATTTTCGAGCGACCGTCATTCGACCTCGCGCGTTTCGGCGAAAGAGATCACCCGACGCGGGTTTTCCCTTCCCATTAATACCTTCAGTCTGGAACTTCCAGACGGCTCGTGACGGACGTATCGAATGCAAAACACGTAACAATTCTCTCGAGTCTACGTTTCTCTCTCTCTCTCTTTCTTGGCCGAGGAAGCGCTACGTCATCTTCCATTACACGGAATCCATTGAGCGTGTAACATACCAATCGTTACACATCATATTTTCCGACTTGCACGTTATTATTATTATTGTCGCTATTTGTCGAAGTAGACACTCGAGCGACGGGAGTATTGCCGCAATTTACGCAGTTTATGTTAATCGGCTCGATATGATCGCGATTAACTAACGTGGAGCGCACGCAACGCGGATAATTACAGGTATACGCACTGGTCGTTAGCGTATACAGGGTGTCCGGTAATTACCGCTCGTATACAGGTAAAACTGGTTAAACTGAGAGCGGGAAAATCCCTCGCCATTTTGCAAGCAACAATTTCGAATTATTAATTAGTGAAAATGCCCACGTATAGAGACTTCTTTAATAAACAACTAAAAGATTCGCGTGTTAATTGCAAAACAGTACGAGACTTTTTTCAATTACGGTGACCTAATCTACAGGGTCTTCCATTAAGAGGTTTCATTTGAAATTAATAAAAAAGGAATAAGTTTTTGAAAACGTTATTTATTCTAATCCGAAGTACAGATTGTGTGATTAAACGTATATCACACAATATCATCTAAATGACCGCCTCGGCTTTTCTTACAAATGGTCATTCTTTTGAGGAAATTTTCCATCACGTTTTCGCAGAATTGCAGCTCAATTTCGCCAACAGTTCGAATGTTGTCTTTAAGTGCTTGAATCGTTTGCGGAGCATTTGTGTCAATCTTATCCTTCACATAACTCCAAAGAAAAAAATCCAGGGGTGTCAAATCGCACGATCTGGGCGGCCAATTGGAGTCTCTGTTACGCGAAATGACGCGTCCAGGGAACTTCTCATTTAATAATGCGATCATTTCACGGCTTGTGTGGCACATAGCCCCATTCTTCTGAAAATAAACATCGTCAGGTCCAGTTCTTCAATTTCAGTCAATGACGCCGCGAGCCCGAAAATCGCAGCAAACTGCCACTCGTGGGTGGAGAAGTTGTTCGTCAATAGCTCTTGGGTTTTCAGTGCCCCAGATGCGGTAATTTTGCTTATCGACGTAGCCGTGAAGGTAGAAATGGGCCTCATCGCTCAAAATGATTTTCTTGAAAGAATCAGAGTCAACCGCTTGCATTTCCAATACCCAATCGACGAACGTACGGCGTTGTTCATGGTCCGTCGGCGTCAATTGGATTTTGTAAGCAGATGTAGGCCAAGATCTTTGTGCAAAATGCGGTGCAAGCTGGTTTGTGAAATGCCCAGTTGCTGCGAACGTCTCGCAATAGATAAACCAGGATTTTCCGCGACACTTTCAGCCACAGCAGTAACGTTTTCGATTGATCTGACTGGCCGAGCACGGGTTGAGTTCTTAACATCGCCGAGACATTCAAATTTATCGATTAAATTCACAATTGCTGGACGAGAAGATGCTTCTCTGCGACCGAAACTGGTTTTGCGAACCGTCTCCGCGAAATTTTCACCCTGTTTGTAAGGAGTTTTCATTATTTCTATGCGTTGCTCATGCGAATGTCGATCCATCGTTATTCACCGCAAAGTTTTTACTCGACAACTGACAAATACGACAATTCTATCTATTACAGATATACAAAATGCTGCGAAACTTAAAGTGAAAACTCTTAATGGAAGAGTCTGTATATATGACAGCTGTTTTACTTAAATAGACATCGGTATGGACGTTGAACCTGTCGTTAGGTACAACAGCTGCCATATATTTGTGGATTAGGCCGTTCTGAACGAAAAAGATCATTTGCCGTTCTGCAAACAGCAACAAACAAAATAATTCGAAATTTCGCGTACAAAATGGTAGAAGACTTTTCCGCTCAGTTTAACCTTAGCGGTATGCCAAGAATATCATCGGACATCCTATGTAACTCAAAATTCAGTTATCTTCGGGCAGATTCAAATCGCATCCGCCGATCCCGGATCTTCATAAACAAATCATGAGCGCGTAATGACATTGTATTGCAACGCGTCGTAATGACGAGAAGGCATTTAAAAACAAAGGAAGGTCGTATATTTATGAGACGTGTTCAATGATGTCGGTCGGATCTTTCCGTGACGTCGAAGCCGATCGAGTTTCAGTTCGGAGCTTCACGTGAGATCACGGCCGATTTCGCATTTTGAGGCCGATTCAGCAGCGATCCGACACTCGACCTTGCCGCATGATTGGCCGATTGATTGACCGGGATGATCCTTAAAAAAAGGCGCCTCGTCATCTGGACAGTTCGACTTGCGAGGCCGCGGAACGAGATCAACGCGGTCGCGATGACGAGCGGCGCCGAATTTTCACATCGACGCGCGATTAAAAGCCCGCGAAGCAGATAAAAGAAAACCTCGATCTCGAAACTTTTCGGAAGGAGGGATTCGCGAGAAAAGCGCGAAGTACCGCTCTTGGATATCCTCGTGATTTGCGCGCGACGGGGGAAACGATTCTGGATCGCGAAATGGCGATGCGCGTCGGTGATCCCAGAAGACATTGACGGGGGAGCAGCGAAACGACGTTCGCCAGAGTGGCACAAAGAGCCGCCGTGGGTAATGGTAGCGACTGGATGGGGGACAACGAACAATTCAGAGTCCTCGTGGCCGGCTCGATATAAAAGTACGAGCTGAATCAACCAGAGGAGGCATTCTCTCTCGGTAACCCGTTCGCCGATGACCGGACACTGAGGTCGCGTTACTCACGACCTTTGGAGGACCGTCCGCTATCGAGAGAAGAAGAAGGAGGAGGGAAAGAAAAAGAAAGAGAAAGAGTCGGCTGAATAACCGGAAAGCAAAACTAACCGAGTAGGGAAGAAGCGGGCAGAGGAGGGAAGAGGAGCAAAACCAGGAGGAGGATCAACGTAGCGTAGTGCGTTGCGGTGTCGAAGAATCGCCGGAGCGGCTGAGAGAGCGGCCGACCTGAAGAAAGGAAACCCGTGGCGAACATTTGCAAGTGAAAGGAGAGAGAGAGAGACCCGGTCTCTCTGGAATTGCTCTTTGTATTTCGACAGTTTGTCGACGAAATACGAGAAGTGTCGTCAGTTTTTACGGAGGTGTTCGCCGGTGTTGATCGGGGGACGCAGACGCGAAAAACGAGAAGAGAAGAGAGAGAGTGACGAGGTGAGTGACATCTGTGTGTGTGTGTGTGTGTGTATAGGTGTAGGGACGATAACGAAGTGCAAAATCCAGAGCTATTTTACCGGTGAGCTGACGAACCGACGAGCTCGCTCTGCTTTTCCCTTCCGACACGGTGCGAAACCGAAACGATAATTGATATGACATGCAAGGAGAAAACAAGTTTTGCCGCAACAGCAAATTGTCTGTTAATATAGCGACGGTAGGAAAATTCGTTACACGGGAAAAATGATTTTACTGTTTTAGCAAAGTCGTCGTTGCAACGGCAATCAAATTTAGTCGGCACAACTAAATTATTTTGCCGTCCGTGCATCCAGCAAATAGCAATCAATACTTTAGCAAATCTTTCCGCTGTGCGAACCAATTTTTTTTCGCTGTCACTATATTAACAAACTTGCTGTTGTAGCAAAATTCTTTTCTTCATATGGTCGACGACCCAATTCGGAAACTCGACGTGTTAGAGAGGAAAAGAGAGAGAGAGAGAGAGAGAGAGAGAGAGATTTCTGGAGTGGTCGAACACTCGTTCGTGGGACAGTAGAAATCGAGCGTGGTATTTTTCCCCTATATTTTCCTCGATAATATTAAAGTGACTCTAAGTAATTTTCCCATTTTTTCTCTCCCTTTATCTCCCCCTCCCTCCGACGTTTGACGTTTGAAAAGTTGCTCCGGCTAATAAGCGCTCTTTTCCATGCCAGCACGGTCGACAAACGCGACGCGCCTTTGCGTAAACCGACTTTGAATCTTGACGTTATCAGAGCGCAACAACGAGAGTAATTGATTTACGATTGATGCCAATTTCGACATAGTAATAGAGCCCGTTCAGCGTTTGCGTCATTCTGTCGATTCGCCGCTCGTGCGCCGTCGATATCATCGCCGTTCATCAGCCGAAAATTAACCCGGTTTCGCTATAATCAGCTCGATAACAATCGAACGCGTCCTATTGCAGGATTTAGCGATTATCTCCGTCCGTAGCGCAGGGGGCAACGCCGACGGTTCGCCGTTTTGCAAGTCGAACTCTCGATCCGAGACTCGTGCATTATTTATCAAATGCATAACGCAGCACTGAATATCTAATGAACGGACGCCGGCAGGGAGATACCTAAATACGCACACACATATGTGAACGACCTTCCTCCATGTGTTCCTCCTTCTTTTTCCCTTTTATCGACACTTTCAAGGCGAGTGCCAGTGAGAACCGGCGGAATTCCGACGGATCTTTTTTTTTCCCCTTCCGGCAACCGCCGGATTTATCGCGAGGTTTGCACGTCCGCGTCAGCCGTAGGTGATTGTCTCACCCTGAATTTTTCACTCCATGTCGCGCGTTTTATGCTTCGACACGCTCTGAGAATGCTCTTTTCATTTCCCGTTCCGTACACCGCGCTAATTTGCATTTACTTATTTTGCAAATATCCTCCTGTTGTAACAACCGTCATGTTGGCGGGAAAATTAATCGCATCGATTACAGGTTTCCACGAGATCGCCGGTTGTCGATTGCGACACGTAACAGATTCTCTCCCCGATCACATGGAAGACTTCGTCATTGTAATTTAAGTACAGCCTGCCGCTTGTGGATCAAATTGACCCATGCAGAAAATCTTATAGTTGTTCAGTCTTGAATTATTGCGGACATAAACATTCTTTTCTTTTGAAGCACGTACAGATTTTTACTCCTCTCTGTGTAGATTCAACACATTGTCTTTTCTTATATATTAAATTATCCGTTTAAAAAATATACGTAATATAATGCGATCGAGACAAATTTTTCAAATTTACACCTTCAGTACTCTCGAAAGATACCTGCGGATAAGCACGTTTATTGAGATTTCAGTGAAGTCAAAAAAGTTTCTAGGTCTTACAGTGCCAAATGTGCCGATCCAAGCAAGTTGAAAATAAGTATGTCAATGAAGCCGTAATAAAAAAATGTATCCGCGTTCTACAAATCTTTCATAACCGGCGAGATTTCGTAACAAACAATTCACGCAAAATCGCGAGACGTTTCATTTATCGACCTCCACTGAATTACTGAGCGATCCCTTCGTGAAAAAATTTGCAGATGGGTACACTGCAGCAGCAGTCGGTCCTGAAGGGCCACCAGACGGGACGGGAGAAGGAGAAGGATCTGGTACACGAATTGTTCGGCCGTGCGGCGGCCGCTCATCCTGAGAAAATCGCGATACATTACGAAGGTGAGGTTTTCCGCTTCTCGATGAAAAAGAAGAAGAAGGAAAAAAAGGAAGAATAACAACGTGAATTTCTCGATCCTGTTTTTCAATCGGTAATGGAATCAGTGCCGCTCGTCCTCGGTGATTATGCAAACGGGTCAACAATTTGATATTCATAACAGATTCACACAGAAACCAGAATATTTCAATATGATGTAACCTACTCCGTTCGCTCGCGATAACGTTTTCATCGCCGATGCCGTAATAATATTAATAGATACCTCTGGAAGCTGTAATTCTTTTTTTTCTTCGTCTTTGCACATCACGGTCAACATCGTCGCGATCTGCTCATGGTGAAATATAAACATTATTCACCGCGTTATCGCGATCATCGGCGGAAAATCCGTGAAGAGATGAAAATTCACTCAGATTTCGCGGCGCACAATGTAAAATTGATCGATTAAACGAGCAGCTTGATCACGATCAACGCCGTAGCGCCGAACTAGTTTCTCCAGCTGGTTATATTAATATTAAGCAATAAATGGCTGTGATAACAACGCGCTTATTAGCTCGAATTTAATCTACTCATATCCTAATGTCACTAACTATTTCCCGGGTAGATAATATCGGCCAGGAGCACGTGTTGTCTTTCGAGGAGCTGGACAAGGTTACCAATCGGTTGGCGCGCGCGTTGCGCAAGTATAACAAATTCGGGACGACCACCTCCGCCACTTCCTCCTCCTCGCAATCGTTCGTGGCCGTCTGCGTGAAACCCTCGGATCGTCTCCCGGCCGTGCTGCTGGCTATACTGAAGGCGGGGATGGCGTATCTACCTTTGGACGCGGAGTTCCCGACGTCCAGAGTGAAGCACATCCTGGAGGAGGCCCAGCCGCTGATGGTGTTGGCCGAAGATGGAGGTGAGCGGCAGAAAGTCGGTCTTTCTTTTTTTTTTCATTTACCGTTTCATTTCATTTAGTGTCTCATTTGTCGTCCTGCCTCACTTTATTTCATCGTATCTTATTTACCTGATTTATTTCTGTTGCCGAATAACGTCTCGATTTTCAGCGTTGAAACCTTTTACTTCACCGAAACGCGTTCCGGCTCGCGAATCCTTGCGCGCGTATCGGCGTATCGGACGTTCGTTTGAAATGAAACGATACAATATCGATAGCAATCGAACCGTGAAGAACGAAGTTAAAGTCGGTGTTGACGGCAAGACACACCTTGCAAGTTGTTTTTTACTACGAAATCTTCTCGCCTGCGGTATCGCATATCCGCATGCAATCTCTCTCTCTCTCTTGAATTTTTTGCAACGTAACGTTGTAATTAACAGCGATACTTTGAAATGTGCGCAGCGGGCCGTCTCAAAGAGCGATTCGCAGAATGCGGATACATTTTATCACGCCTTCGTCATAATTGCTCACGGGGAAACCTTGAAGGGGCGCCTTTTTTCTCCCCCCCTTCGCCTTCTCTCTTCATGCTGGATTTGCAATTCGTTATTTCACGCGCGTTCTTCCGCTTCCACCTGTTCCCTTTACCCGTTGCACGCACGATTAAGGATACACCTCGTTCAGACGCTTTGACCGTAATAACCGTTATTAATTCCGTGTAAAAAAAATATGTTTGAAACGCCCGGTGAGTTGCATCATAAATAAGGTTAACTTACGCGATTCTGCGCTTTCAGCGGACTTGTCGATTTACGACGGTGCTTTGGTGGTGACGTACGAACAGCTGTTGGAAGAGGCCGAGCGAGAGCAAGAGGACGCGTTGACGACAGTCAAGGAGGCGAATCAGATCGCCATTGTTCTCTATACTTCCGGGAGCACAGGAGTCCCGAAAGGTAACACACTTAAAAGTTAATTCATATTTATTCGGTCGGTACTAATAACATATTCGCTTTAATCTAAATTCTATTATTTATATATATGTAAAGTGAAGGAACCACTTTCATTTGAAAAGCAACGGATTAAAAGACATATATAATTTTCTTATTTGAACAAACTTTTTTTCTTAAAGTAAATCACGTGTATATTGGTATAAATAAATATTTTATTAGTATCACCGAATATATAAATATTTCTGATGTTTTAGATATGTTTTCTCTCAGTGCAGTAACATTGAAAATTTCCAATCGTGTACATTCTGAATATTTGTGCATCACTTCCGGATAACATTGCCGATTCATCGAGTAATCAACAATCATAACGCGCGAATATTCGGACATAATGTGCCTAATTAGAAATTTTCGATTGTCAATCTGCGCCTAGGAAATGAGACTGCGTTAATAAAGTATTGTATACGATATGATGGAACATGATGTGAGAAATCTCATTTAGTCCAAAAATAAAAAAAACGAAGAAAAAAAATAACACCGATGCACGCCTTCCGCTGCGACGAATTCCAGCGCAAAAAAAAATGATTGCACGTAATATCATCTATTCGATGTAATCGATCTATTCATTATCATCTCTCACGGTTGATTTATTTCCACAAAATGCTACATCACAATAAATTATTTTCTGTCACTAGCTGGCGCTCCTTACGTCTACACGCGCTATTGCTTTTTCCTTCCCGCAGAATCTGAATTGTATCAGTGGGTGTTAATTAAAATCATGCCGCGAGTGTTCACATTTTCATATTGCGCAATAAGAATAAGAAGCAATGTCATTGTAAGAAAAAAAATATTGCAAGAATATTCGTATTGTAACTTTGCATTCGAAATGAAGCACAAGAGAATAACGGTTGGAACTTGCGCAATAGAATGCACAAATGAAGTTCTTTACAATTTTTTTATCGCGGCAATGATAACATTCAGGAAGTGAGAAAGAGAGAAAAAGAGAGAGAGGGAGAGAGAGAGAAAGAGAGAGAAAGAGAGAAAGATCTCATTTTATGTCGTCATGCACGGGAAAAAATTAGTCTTAAATCAAAAATAGATATTCTCATATATGTAAGAATATTATAATCTTCTTAGGAGACTTTAGTCTTAATTTGATTGGATTTATATTGATGCAAGTATTACTTGGACTCAATTTAAGACTAATCTTCTATGAATATTATAATATTCTTGCTTACGTATGAAAATATCTATCCTTGATTTAAGACTAATTCTTTTCCGTGTGTTGTTCTACTCTTTCCTATTACGTATCCGAAGAGTTTCACTTCTTCGTTGTAATAAATGACAGAATGTGAATAATACAATGAGATATAAAGACGCATAATAATAATGTAATAAAATAATATGATAATATATAAATTTGTTTTTACAAAGGTGTGCTCATACCTCACGCCACCCTATTGAATCGTCTGCAATGGCAGTGGCGGGAACTACCATACGCCGACGACGAAGAGGAATGCGTCTTCAAGACCTCTCTCACGTTCGTCGACAGCGTCCCGGAGATCTGGGGCCCACTGCTGCAGGGTCGCACTTTGGTGGTGGTGCCGAAGAGCGTGACAAAGGATCCGGAAAGATTCGTACAGCTGTTGGATAAACACAGGGTAAACTTTCTCCCCCGACATCATAAACGAAAATTCAGAGAAACAAATCGTCCTTTAACGAACTTTTCCCGCTTATCATTTTCCCACTCGATCGATTCAATTCCACGTCGAAGCGTTTCGTCATCACTTCTCGTTTGACATTTATAATGCACGACGATTACGAGAGGCGATAGTTTGACGATAAGAACGGAAAATCACCCGTGTTTTTTCCAGATACAACGTCTAACACTCGTGCCGTCGTTGCTGCGTTCATTATTCATGTATTTGGGTCTGCACGTAAGTACATCTGCATTCCACACGCATGCATCTCATTCACGAACTGAATCTGCGCATTGTCGGATGAATTTGCCCATCGGTATTCCATAATCCCGATGTTTTGCATCACGCTCGGCGCGAAAGGTTGCGATTATTATTATTTTTATTACGCGCGTCTCGCCGCGTCATTTTCTCAAATCCGAGTTTCCGTAATGTCAGCATCGCACGATATTATTAGAATAAATATATTCCCAATGACTCGCGGTGATAATCATAGCGCGCTGCGCACGAGACGCGCGATACGATCGACGATCAGGGATTTATAGAAGGTGGAATTAAATGTAGCGATTGTGTTTATTAGACAGCCTTTCAGCGGTCTCGGCGCGAAATTTTTGCGCGAGTTTAGACCTTTGGCATTTCGCAGCCGTTTTACAAACTTATCGTCGATTTAATCTCAAGCGCAGAATCTACAATAAGTGCGTTCACAGTTCGATGACTCTCTCTCTCTCTCTCTCTCTCTCTCTCTGTTCCTCGAATTGACGCGGTAGCGTGCAATTGAGAAAGTTTTCCGTAAATAAGCGTCCAAATAATATTATTCACAATAATCATACAAATAATATTATTCTCAATCAAAGCCTAAGTGATAGAGAAAGACTAAATCTTATATGACTTGATGCTGTAAAAATATAAGGAAATAAGCCTATAAAATTATTAATAAAAATAAAGAAAAATAGAGAGATAAAAATAATTAAATTAGAAAAAGAATAATTAAAAAAAATTTTTAATTCTTTTATTATATAATTTAATAATAAGATAAAAAAGATCTAATTCGTGAAGAAATTAATCAGAACTGAAAAAGAAATAAGGTTAAAATGATTAAAGTTCTGAATCAGTTTAAAGAAGTAAAAAAAATTAATTGATGGATCAAAGGTATTAAAAATATTTAAGATCAGAATCAAGACCAATAAGTTTTATTAAAAGATTTGGATGAATTTAAGGAAAGATTAAGATAAAAATAAAAGAAGATAATTAATAAAATTAAAAGAAAAAGAAAATGAAGAAAAATTCAATATATAGGTATTATTTGAGGAATAAAAGAATATTTTGATATATTTCAAATTGACAATTTAATGTTATAAAAATTAACTAAACCGTAAGTAACGGCTCAAGTCACGTGGTTCGCGTGCTCGTCGTCGATCGTATCGGATTGAGCGAGCTGTAATCAGCGAGATCCGCCTGCGGATAATCGACGACGATTTGTCGTTACTTTGTAAGCTAATTATCGTCAACTCGGCAAAGGTGAATATATCGCGTAGCCCTCGGCGATCCTCGATCTCCTCGCCTAACGATACATGGTGCGCGTATGGCGCGTAAATACGAGATCGAGATAGGCGAGCAGACACGCACGCGTTTACCTCGCGAGGGCGAGTCAGCGAATGATTTTCGCAACGGGAACATTCGTTGATTAATTATCGTGTGCAGCAGACCGCTGAATCCGCCGTTTCACCAGTTTGTTGCCGCGTATTGCAGGATAATGACAACGCTCTCGGCCGCCTGACACTCTGGATCTGCTCCGGCGAGACCTTGCCGGTCGCATTGGCCGATCAGTTTTTCGCCACTTTCGGCGATCACGGCAAGACGCTGGCTAATTTCTACGGCAGCACGGAAGTTATGGGTGACGTCACGTACCACCTGCTAAGCAAACGCGCGCAATTGCAAGGAATGGAGAAAGTGCCGATCGGTAAGGATCGTTTCTTTCCCTTTTGACTTCTCGCTTAACCGCTCTTATAAAAACGCTTCACCGTTTTCGCCGAGACTACAAAAACTGAATTCGAGCGAAAGCGTGCATTCCGCTGAATATGATCTCATTTTTTCGTAATAACGAGTGGTTGTAGAATTGTCTGTGAATGTATCAGAAGCGTGTTAATCGTATTATTGAATATTTTTGAGTAGTAAACGCGCACAATGATGTGTAAATTTAAGGTATGAATGTTCAGCTATGAATACAAAATACTTGCTCAACATTCATAAACATTGCACATTTTGAAATAGTACGAGTAAATGAACGATTCTTTAATTTGCTTCTTTTCGCACTGAAAACTGAGTAAAAGAGGTGAGTGTAAACGTGTTGCCACTCTAGATGGAAAACTAGTATCGAAGACAAGGAATTGAAAAATATCCATATAATACTCGTGTGTACTCGTCTATATTCCATCGCTTAATAGTGCTGCGCGTGACTGAGAATGCGAGAAACTCGAGCGCAAAAATGATAGAGAAGATTAGAAAGTAGTCATATGAGGAATAACAACGAAATATTTTTCGCCGAACAATCGCCGGTTTTGAATTCACGTCAGCGCTTGGTGTATTTCGCTCGCAGGTAAACCAGTCGACAACTGCATAATTTACCTCGTGAACAAGGACATGCGATTAGCCCCTCAGGGAGAGGTCGGCGAGCTGATAGTAGCCGGAAGGAACCTCGCCGCGGGTTATATACGCGGGCGGGACGCACATAAATTTTTGGACAATCCTCACGCTATCGATCCAGGTGAGAGGGGAATCTTCGAAGAGAGAAATCTCCAAATTCTTTGTAATCACGCAGAATCGCACGGTCGTCGAAAATACGCATATCGTGCAGCGACGACGATCGCGTTCGAAGTTGTCTACAGATATTTGTCGGTCAAACTGGAAGACGTCGCCGAGTTCGCCGGAGCATTCGAGAAAAATTTGCCGATAATCGTTGTTTCCCGTTGTTTTAATATCTTTGATCCACCAATTAATTGATTCAGAACCTTAATCATTTTAACTTTATTTCTTTTTCAATTCTCATTAATTCCTTCCCGAATTAGATCTTTTTTTATCTTATTATTAAATTATATAATAAAAGAATTAAAATTTTTTTTAATTATTCCTTTTCTAATTTAGTTATTTTTATTTCTCTATTTTTTTTTTTTATTAATAATTTTATAGGCTTATTTCCTTATATTTTTACAGCATCAAGTCATATAAGATGTTGTCTCTCTCTATCACTTAGACTTTGATTGAAAATAATATTATTTGGATGATTATTGAGAATAATATTATTTAGACGCTTATATGTCCGCAGAGTATCCGAAAATCTTCCGCACGGGCGACTATGCCAAGATAGTCAAGGGGTCCATAATTTACGAAGGACGAGTGGACTCGCAGATCAAAATCAGGGGCCACCGCGTCGACCTCACGGAGGTCGAGAGGGCGATCGCCAGGATACCCGACATCGACAAAGTCGTGGTTCTTTGTTACAAGCCCGGCGAACTGTCGCAGGTAAAAATAGCCTTTTCGCGATACGTTCCGTCGAAATAATTGAAGGCATTGAAATCACCGACTCCGGAAATCCCATATTTAGAACAATTTCTCTTCTACAGAAAAGAAAAGATGCTAAATTCAAGTAAATATTTACCAATATTCCTTCGAAAATTTTCACTCGAATAAAGCAAATTTTACTTGGACCAAGTAAATACTTAATTTGGATAATTTACTTGAAAAATATTTTATTTGAATTAAGTAAATATTATTTGATACCGCTATAAGTAAACATTTTATAAGAGATATTGGGCTGATTATTTACTTGAATCTAGCATTTTTTTCAATGCGGTTTTCCGCTACGTTTATTCTTCAAATTTCCGTTGAATTTTCAGGCGCTAATAGCTTTCATCACCACCGTGAACGGCAAGGCGCAATTCAGCCAGGAGGTCGAAAGTCTCCTGCAAAGGATGCTACCGCCGTACATGCTGCCACAAATTGTTATCATCGACCGTATACCTCTTCTGACCAACGGAAAGACGGATCGGCAGGCATTGCTGAAGCAATACGAGTCATCCTGTCCTGACAACGGTGAGCAGTCATCACGTCATTTCGAACGATTGTCGGATAAAAATATAATCGTCGCGATTATCTCCGGGAAATATCAAATAAACCGTTGCTTTACGTACGATAACTGTTCTCTGTGTTTCAAGAAACGTCGGATATACTGCATACATTATAAAATCGGACTACCGTTGAAATCTAATCGCTGATAAACCAAAATAAGATAGGACAGATCTTTAAGACCTTAATCGTGGCTATTGCGGCGACGTAATATGTTTAGTTTCATGGGAGCATATAAATATTTTTTTCTTGATACTTCGAAATTCGTTCGTAGATTCACCGTATACATTTGGCTGGAGAATAATCCGCGTGCATCAAATATTCGCGTTAAACATTCCCGGATAACAAAATGACGCCGGAGAATAACATATTGATTTCATATCGACGGCAGAGACGTTATATTGTCGTGTCCTCTGGCGTCATTTGACTTATCTGATTCATATCCTCCCACAAAACTAAAAATATCATCGCTACAATGGCTATGATTAAGATTTTTGAAAACCTGTCCTATCTTTCTTTGGTTTGTAATCTCAGAGCCAGTGTAAATATACAATTTATTTAATCACTAATGTACGCGCGATCAAGTTGAGGGCCGATTTCTCAGATTTCTGAAGTTGACTCTAACCCACCCAAGCAGCAAAGATATTAATATATTAATATATATTAATATCTTTTAATATATATTTATATCTTATATCTTGAATTGATTATGTTTGATTATGTCTATTTATAACAAATTATTTAAAAAATATATCGATTGCTGAAAGATATTAATATATTATTTAAATAATTTGTTATAAATAGACATAATCAAACTTCAAGGTGTACATATTTTAATTAAAAAATGGAATTGTAGCAGAGCAGCATAATTATGATATTGCGACATTTTTGCTACGTAAGATATATATTAAAGGTTCTAAAACGTATGTTCTTCGAACGTTCTTCGAACGTTCCCACTTTGTTTGAATATAGTGAACCTAAAGCGAACGTTCCTCGAACGTTTACGTGCTGCTTAAGTTGATTTCTCATTTTTTACTCTTCGGATCCTGACTTGAGGATATAATCTCTCCGACGCTGAGCTCACCTCAGCCACGAATTATTCCAGCGTGGATCGGGGTCATCGAAAGTTTGACTTTGCAGAGGACGAGGTTACCGCCAACTGCGATTACAGCGGCGTGCCGAGCCAAGACCTTGTGAAAGCTCACGTTCTTTTTCCGACCATCGCGTCCGTAATCGGACGCAACAGTCGCGCACCGGTGACGTCACAGGCGAATTTCTACGAGCTCGGTGGAAACTCCCTGAATTCCATCTACGCGGTGACCAAGCTGAGAGACCAGGGTTATCAGATCGGCATCACGGACTTCATCACGGCGAAGAATCTGGCCGACATATTGGATCACATGAAGCTCGAATCCAGCGAGGAGGAGCCGCTGGAGGAGACCATCGACCAAGGCTCGTACATCTTCGAGCCGTTGCACGACAGCCACAAGGAAGACGCGATCGTGTGAGTTGTTGCTACAAAAAGGATCCTGAAGGAAGAAAACTCAATTCCTGCTACCGAACAGAGACCAGACGAAAATTTGGTGACGAGAAATGAAAATCCGATGACAAGGAATGCGCGAACATTTCGCTCGAACGTTAAAACTCGGTTAAGACAACCGGAGAATTTTCTTCTTCCTCCGACTGAGTTTTCGTCTGGTTTCCCAGGCGACCGGAAATTCGGTTACATTGGAATTGAAATTGTTTTCCCGAGTACGCGTAATGCACGTACGTTTATATAAATATGGAAGGTCACGGGCATAAACGAAGGCTAAAATTTGCAGAATAATCACGGAGAGCTTTTACGCGAAGTCCGATTTGGAGCAGTGGTTGATGCCGGACATAAGCAGAGCCGATTATAAGGAGCTGATGGAGGCCATATGGCAGCCTCTCGTGGAGAAGGGTCTGAGTTTTGTGATGAAGTCGATGCAGACCGGTAAAACGATCGGGGTCGCCCTCAACTTCGACCTCTGGGACGAGCCCGAGGTGGTATTGAGCTCCAAGCTTATGATTGTCTTCGACTTTCTCGAGTACCTGGAGGCACCGATCAGAGAATACAAATTGCCAAAAGGTAAAGATCAGATTATTCACAACTTCATGATGACGACCAGCACCGAGCTGAACGCCGCGGAGAACGTGCTGGCGATGAGGCAGATGGAGGAGCACTGCTTGGAATTCGCCAAGCAGAAGAAGTTCGCCGGCATTTTCACGACGAACACCAGCCCGCTCACACAGGTAATTCATTTCGAAGAGCATCCCACAAAAAATATCGCTAATATAACGATTAATTAAAACCCTTACAATCGCAAGTTTTCCTATCATCGTCGCATTTATTTACCGTATAAATGTCACGCATAATATCGTACATTCATGTAATCGTATATATCTAAACAGACGAAGAGAGAGAGAGAGAGAGAGAGATAATATTTTTTATATATCTACGTATAAATATCTAACGTTGAGGTCCCGGCTAAAGAAAAGTGTTTCTTCCGTGTGGTTCTTTTTTTATATAAGCAAATCTGTATGAACTTCCACAGCAACTCGGCACGGACGTGTACGGCTACGAATCCATGCTGGTGTACCAAGTAAATAAGTACGAGATACCCGACGGCAGCAAACCCTTCGGCAAGGCTCCCGACAGCCAATTGGCGATATGCTCGTTGAAGATGATCAAGTGAAGCGAATCAATCGATGTTACTTCAGTATTGATTTAGAGCTACGTGCGAGGAACGCGCGTTGCCTCCTGACGAATTGCCCAACGATGAATATCTGTATATATTTTTTGTAAATAGATGTGTATAATTAGCAACTTAGCGAGTTGTTTGGAGTAATTTGCAGTTAGTATTATAGACTTCAAAGTGGTCCATGCGCAATCAAACAGGGGACAAAGCACTTTCGTGCTGACACCCGGCTATGTATCGTGACGTGACGTAACGTTGATTTTACGTAATATATCAACTTGCACAAATTGTCGAATTGTGTGCGTGGGCAGCAAAAATGAGCTCAGAAGATCAGCCATCAATTGATGTGAACTCGTCACGGGCAACCTCCATCACATATTCTTACTTTATAAGCGAAATAGTACATATAAGATCGTCTTATAGATTTATTATTTAAGATACGCGCCTACGTGAAAAATTCTACGTAAATTATTGTGTACACGTAAGAATAATTTTACTTTTCAATAAATATTCGCTCTCATAATAGTCTAGTTTCGAAAACGGCGTTTACATCGTTATAAATATAGTATAGCAAAAGTGGAAAAAATGGTGTGTTCGAAGCACGCAACGTAGTAAATAAGTTAAGAACGTAATTCTTATATAACGTGATGATAAAAATGCAGGACTACAGACAGCTACACAAAGCGTACTTTAAGAAATATAAAAGAAGACTTTGAGATATCTTGTTGTGAAAAATCCCGAGGACGTTTCGAAGAAACCTTTTCCTTTCCGTTTCCTTTCGAACGGACGTACCGCCTGAATGCGATAGAATAGTGAGAGAAATAAAGAAACTTTCTATTAACAATTGTGCTACATTACTCAATTGTTTCTCATGTGTAATGCTTTATCAAACTATCACTACAAAAGAAATAAATTTTTTTATTGACAATTGTTGTTGACAATTAATTTAGTTTTTTGTAAGTCAAGACGGTCGAAAGCATGCATGCTCTGATCGAAATATTTTACTGAAATACTCTCTCGATTGACCCCACTTTTCATTTATATACGCTGTTTTCAGTTTAATTCAATAAATTTCATAACATCTAACATTTCCAAAATTTTGTTATCACTTTTCAAAATTACATTTTAATTCACATTATATTTCACGACATTACATTGAATTCCATGATAAAAATGATGATTCTTTTTAAATATTTATTGTTATATATTTCAATAATTTTTCAGTAACTTTCATCAAGCTCATAGTGTATTAGTATTCGTATATAAGAAAAGTTTAAGTATATGGCTAAAATTTATTGAATTTAGCTCAAAACCACGTACATTGACGGAATGATAATGAAATGGGGATGATGAAATTGAGAGGGAATTTCAGTAAAATGTTTCGCGTAATATTTCCATCAGGGTGGCCGCGTTCTCTTTGGGCACTCACGCGCTGCAAGCGTCATTTCATCTTCCTTTGGCACATAGTGAATAATAAAGCTGGAACGACGCTTATAGTGCGCGAACGTCCAAAGAGAACCCAACCTATGAACCATCGGCGGCACATAACCTCAAATACTCGCAGCTCACAGTATGAAAATATTCAATATATTGTTAAAGTAATAACATTTCTATTCCTACAAATGCGGAATATTCGACATGACGAAAAATATAGTGAAGTGAACACAACAGATTTCATTGTTGACATGCAAAATATGCGAAGAATAATTTGTTTCTAACAGTGTATTGTAATTGTTAATTATTTGTCAAAGAGGACCAAATGGCACCGTTAACAGATCTACTCTCTTGTAGTATAATAGGTAATTTGTGAATATAAAAATAAGATTTCACCAGATCTTCCCTTTCTAACACTTCCTCTCGCATAAACACTGTTTCCGGATATTTGCGGTGCTTTTAATACAAGATGAAAATTGCAGAGAAGGACTGCAACGGAGACGTCTTGTGGACATGGTCGTATCCGGCGGTGACGGAATCTCAGAAGACAGTAGTTACAAGAAAGTGCAATTTGAAATTAGAGCACAACTCTCCTCATGTATTCGTATGCGCCCGGCATGGCCACGACTGGTTTTACATACATTGCAGTGAAGTTTTTGATTCTGATAAATTACCGAAAGTAAGTAATTCATAAACTGCTATTCTTCTACTGAAGAAAAAATATACATGAAAGAACAAAATGCTTTCGTGCAAATTTGATGACCCACTGTTCGATCATGCTAAAGAACGTATGTTTAATCTGTTATTGGCAAAATTAGAAAAATTTTAATAATAATTTTATACTTGTACTAAATTTGAGAAAAATCGGAACGTATATCATTTACTTGGATAGATTTGCTTATCAGCAATTTCAAAAACTGCTCTTCCAAATTTCCTCGTGTATTTGATAACTCACGTATTTTATAATTGTTCATAGGTGAAACAGTTTGCGTTGGTTCTGTTCGCGAAGGATTTTAATCCGCAGAAATATGAAGTACTTTCGCGAGTCCTCAGCAAGATGTATTGCAAGACCGGGAAGCCGACGGAAATTTTGCAACTCTACCTTTCCGTATTCACGAAAGGATCATGCTCAACACAGGAGAACGGAACTTTCGTCTCCGATGACTTCAATACTCATCGTTTTGCTGCTAACACCAATGTCCGAGAACTAATCAAAACGTTCGAATTAGAGACTATTTTGATATACACCGCTCTCTTGCTGAAGAGAAGAATTGTCATATATCATCATAGCTTGGAGCAACTTCTCAAATGGATCAAAACATTTCCCACGTTGATGAGGCACAGGAAGGTCACCGATAATCTTTTTCCTTGGGTCGATTTGGTGAACGACGAAATAACCGAGTTAAAGGTATATATCGTATGAAGGATTATGTTTTTGACAATTGCAAGAGATTAATCGTAAGATATTTATAATATTGGCGTTTTTTTTTTCATTATTGTATAATTATTGTATTGTTACAGAGGTATTCATATTATGTGGCAGGCTGTAGCAATAGCTCGATATCTTCAAGAACAGATCTGTACGATCTGCTCGTGAATATCCCCGCCAGAGAAATTACTGTGGCTTCGCATGCAAAAGGTAATAAATAAGAACAAACTTTACCCATCCACCAAAATAATATAATATCGTGATATTTCCTGAAAATTCCCCAATTCATTCTAGAAAGTCTTACAATGACGAAGACTCATAAGGAGATAGCCTTGTTCATGGTACAGCTGTGCGAAAATCAAAATTATACGGAAGCACAGATTATATCTGAGATAAGTGACAAAACGCAAGATCTATTGAATCAACTGACTTTATTGGCGACGGTGCAGGCTCCGGATGGCAAAAAGATGATTTCTGTCGAAATATTCAAGGAGAAAAACTTAGCGCCAGCTGTAGAAAGTTTCCTCATTAATTTGGCCGTTGCGGAAAATCTATTTATGTTATGATACGTAACGCGTCTATTTGCATATGCACTTGATCACTTGTATATTAAGCGAGAACTTAGGTCTAGTCGATACAAAAATTGTGTATATTACTTGTAATCATGTCATCTCTCTGATATATATTTGAGAAGAAATATACACGAAAGAACATAATGCGATCGTATACATTTTTGATAACCCACTGTTCGATCGTGTTACCAAAGAACGTACGTTTAATCTGTTATTGGGAAAATTCGAAAAATTTTAATGATAATTTTATATTTGTACCAAATTTGAGAAAAATCGGAGTGTACATCATTTACTTGAATAAATTTGCTTGTTGGCAATTTCAAAAACTGCTCTTCCAAATTTCTTCATATGTGACGTTGCAAATCGGCCTCTTCTTTTCCGCTGCATCGCTGAACTAGTATATGTTTTCTCATTTCAACTTATTGCACCAGTTCAGCAGTTCAGCTAAAAAGAACAGGCTAAATTGTTCTCTTCACATTCGATTGTGATTGGTTGTTTCTTTAGGTTGAGGGTTTCAAGCATCTAATGTAGACCGGGCTTATCGTTCGATGGCCGAGCAATGGCTGCGTTCGGCAAACACAACGGTTGAGTAATTCGCCAACATAATTGATCCAAATTTAGGGATCTAATAATAAGAACTAATAATCATCGGCCGCTCACTGGTCGTTTGTTTTTTGAACGCAGCCTCGTTCGGCAGAATATTAATTTTAACGGCAGTTTTTTTAGTTTAATTCGCAACTGTTGGAAATCTCCCGAGCTGTGTGATTGGGTTATTCCTTCAGATCTAGAGGAAAAATCCAATATCCGCGCAGAAAACTTTCAACAGTCGTGAAATAAACGTTCTTCTGAACGCGGCCGATGAATCATTCATTCGTCTCACCTTCCAACGATAATCTTTCCTCCAACCTTGGCAGAATCGAATTTGAAAACTTCGAGAGAGACAATCGATCCTCCAGTGAGATTGATTTATCGATCGATCGCCATCCGTCCGTTCACTGATTTGCACTTTGATTCGCGTAGTACCGGAAATCCATCTCTTTCCTTAACCAAGCGCCTCCTTATCCGGTACACGCGGTCGAGTCACTGGCGAGGTAGTTGCAGAGACACGGACGACATTCGGTCGCATCGGAATTTCTTTCGGTTTTCGCAGGACCCCACGCGGATCTTCGCTCGGTGTTTATGTTGGAAGTGTAGCCGCGGTCTCACAGAGCAATCATGGCGCGATACGGGCAGCGTCCCGAGAACGCCCTGAAACGGGCATACGGTACGTAACTTTTCTGTCCAGCGCGTGATACAAGTACGACATGGCCGATGGCATCGTTGCGAGAAAAAAAATCTCACGCCTCTTCGTGCCATTTGCGAGAGCGCGTTCGATCGCGATTTTAACGCGAATCATCGACAATCGACGTCCACTTGTTATACAGTACGCTAAAATCGCTCGAGCATTGCCTAGCTGCTGCTTTCCTCCTCTCTCTCTCTCTTTCTTTCTCTCTCGCTCCCTCTCCGTCTCTCTTACGGTGGAATTTTACGTTGCCACGACCATATGTACTCGCACCCTGTCGTCCACTGAGACCTATGAATGTCGAGCTCTGTTTTGAGAAACACAATTTTATCACAATTTTACAACGCATTTCACCCTCGGGAAATATTTCTTTCAGAATTATGTTTAAAGGAATTTAGGTCTTGCAGACAACACAGGGAAATATTGTCGAGCTGCATTCCTTCCTCATGTGGGGTCGTGTAAATTTCACAATTGGGCCTTTACATCTTGTAAATTGATTATTTTTATCAGTCGTGAGTCTTGTTATATAAGCGTGACAAGTAGTTGACATACTATGACGATGCACTAGATGCTTCCCCTTCAGCTGTGTTTCTCCCGTCAAGACTCCCTTTTGCCTCAAACACTTGGAGAGAAAGTCTAAAAATAGACATTGTTCTTTGTAACCACGTCAATATTTGTCACCGTACTTTATTCCACGTATTATATTAATTATCATAACGCTACTATAAATTCCTATAATCAAAGAAGCCAATCTCAATTTCTACTCAACATAATCAACACGCTTAGCATTGATTACCTTCCTTCTCTCCCGACAGAGTTCATCGAAGTGGGCAAACCAGCCCGGGCTTTAGACACGCTGCAAGAAGTCTTCCGTAACAAGAAATGGACGTACAGCTGGTCGGAATCCGTGCTGGAGCCCATAATGTACAAGTACTTGGACCTCTGTGTGGAACTGAAGAAGTCCCACATAGCGAAGGAGGGTCTGTTCCAGTACAGAAACATGTTCCAGTCGGTGAACGTCGGCAGTTTGGAGAACGTGATACGCAGTTACCTGAGGATGGCGGAGGAGAAGACGAACGCGGCTCGCAAGCAGAGCCAGCAAGCGGTGATCGACATCGACGATCTCGACAATCTCGCCACCCCCGAGAGCATCCTGCTGTCCGCTGTGAGCGGCGAGGACGCGCAGGACAGGAGCGACCGCACCATATTGACACCGTGGGTGAAATTCCTGTGGGAATCATACTGCCAATGCTTGGAGTTGCTCAGAACCAACGCGCACGTGGAGACGCTCTACCACGACATCGCGCGCATGGCCTTCCAGTTTTGCCTCGAGTACAATCGTAAGACTGAATTTCGTAAACTCTGCGAGAAACTGCGCAAGCACCTGGAGGAGATCTGCAAGCTGCCGCAGCTGGTCTCGAACGTCTCCATGAATAAGGCGGAGACGCAGCAGCTGAATCTCGAGACGAGGCTGAACCAATTGGACTCGGCGATACAGATGGAGCTCTGGCAGGAAGCGTTCAAGTCATCCGAGGACGTGCACGGCATGATGAACTTGTCGAAGAAGCTACCGGTGCCGAAGACGATGGCCAACTACTACCAGAAGCTGGCGATGGTCTTCTGGAAGGCCGGCAATTTCCTCTTCCACGCGGCCGCCCTCTTCAAGCTGCTCCAGCTGTCCCGCGAGATGAAGAAGAACATGTCGTCGGAGGAGCAACAGCGAATGGCGAATCGCGTACTGCTGGCGACCCTGTCGATACCGTTGCCGTCCGCGCACCCCGAATTCGACCGCTTTATCGAGACCGACAAGAGCCCGTTGGAGAAGGCGCAGAAGCTCGCGACCCTCCTGGGCCTCTCGCAGCCGCCCACTCGCGTCTCCCTCCTCAAGGACATCGTGCGCCTGAACGTGGTGATGCTCGCGTCGCCTCAGCTGCAGGAGCTCTACTCCTGGCTAGAGGTGGAGTTCCATCCTCTGGAGCTCTGCACCAGAGTCGACTCCGTCATCCAGACTCTGCAGGCGGACGAGAACAGCCCGTTGACCCAGTACGTCCCGGCGCTGCAGGACGTGACGCTCGTGCGTCTCGTCCACCAGATCTCCCAGGTCTACCAGACCGTCCAGTTCTCCCGGCTGCTGGAACTCGCGACGTTCACGAGCGACTTCCACCTGGAGCGGCTCCTGGTGGACTGCGTGCGCTACAACGACATGCAGATCAGGATAGACCACGGCAAGACGTGCGTGCACTTCGGCGTGGACCTGTCGGAGGCGCAGCGCGAGGACCACCCGGACGGTCCGGTGCTCCAGGCGATGCCGTCCGAGCAGATACGCTGCCAGCTGGTGAACATGGCGACCGTGCTGCACCGGGCGATCAACGTGATCAACCCGAACAAGAAGAAGCTGGAGCGGGAGAAGCTGCGCGGCGCGATGGTCGCGCATTACCACGAGACGAAGATGAAGGAGCACCAGAGGATACTGGGCAGGCACAAGATCATCGAGGAGAGGAAGGAGTACATCGAGCACATCAACACCGTGCGCGAGGAGGAGGAGATGCGCCGGCAGGAGGAGCTGCAGCGGCAGCAGATGCTGGCCGAGCAGAAGAGGATGGAGCAGGAGCGCGAGGAGCGCGAGCGCAAGCGGCAGCAGAGCGAGATCCAGCAGATCAAGGACCGGCATCTGAAGGAGAAGATGCAGCAGATCTCGCAGACCAGCCACGGGCAGAAGGTGTTGAAGAAGCTCGACGAGGACGAGATCAAGAAGCTGGACGCGGAGCAGATCGCGGCCCGGGAGGCGGAGGAGCTGCAGAAGGAGCGCCGGGAGATGCAGCAGAAGCTGAAGTCGCAGGAGAAGAAGGTGGATTACCTGGAGCGCGCGAAACGCCTCGAGGAGATCCCGCTGCTGGAGAAGGCGGTGGAGGAGAAGATGGAGCTGGCGAAGCAGTGCTGGAAGCAGCAGGAGGACGAGCGGATCGCCGTCGCCATCGAGGAGAGGCAGCAGGCGGTCGCGACGCAGGAGCGGATGGCGCGCATGAAGACCGACCACGACATCTTCCTCGCGAAGATCCTGGCGGAGCGGAAGAACGTTTACCTGGAGAAGCAGACGGAGTACGACAAGCTGCTGAACGAGGAGCGCGCGAAGAGGCTGCTGCAGCGGAAGAATCAGCGCAAGGCCGAGCGCAAGGCCAAGTGGGAGAAGGAGCGCGCCGAGGCGGCGGAACGGAGGCGCCTGGAGGAGCTGCGAGTCAAGCAGGAGGAGGAGAAGAAGCGGCTGGAGGAGGAGAGGGCCAAGAGGGAAGAGGAGGAGAGAGTCAGACGAGCCGAAGAGGAGGCCAGGGAAGCCGAGCGTCTGGCCAAGCTGAAGAAACAGTCGGAGATCATGCGGTCCAGGGAGGCCGAGGTCGAGCGGAAGCTCGAGGAGGAGAGGCAGCGCAGCAAGGAACTCGCGTCAACCTGGCGGCGCATGGACAGGGAGCCCGAGCGCGATGCCCCGAAACCTTGTAAGCGTATATCGTGCGTCACATACTTGTACAAGTGTCTCGACGAGAATACCCGCGAAGGTTTTTCACATCGTCTTCGTTCCTGATGGTGATCTTTTGTCCGAATCAACCCGTTGAGATGCACGATTTTACAACGCGTTTCACCCTTGGGGAATATTTCTTTCGGAATTATGTTTAGGAATTTTGCGTCTTGCAGACAACACGGGGAAATATTGCCGAGCTGCATTCCTTCCTCATATGGGGCTATGTCAATTTCACTGTTGGGCTTTTACATTTTGTAAATTGATTATATTCAGTCGTGAGTCTTGTTATACAAGCGTGACAAGTAGTTGACATATCATGACGATACACTAGATGCTTCCGTCAAGACTCCCGTTTGCCTCAAACACATTTCTTTCACACCGGCTGAAAGAGAAAGTCTAAAAATAGAATCGGGGAAAAGTCGGGCACTATTGTTCTTGATAACCACGTCAATATTTGTACACAATATATATATAATTCGAACTCTCGAAGTTGATCCTATTTAATCCGCACGTCCCTTTAGCGTTGGAGTCATGGCGGCGTAATCCTGATCCGAAGGACTCTAACGGGCTGAAAAGCGAGACGGATCGCTGGAGGAAGCGCGACGACAAAATCGAGGACTCCTCGTGGAAGAGAAGGGAGCCGGAGCGGCGCGACGCGGACAAATGGAGGAGAAACGACGACTCGGAGAGGTGGAAGGACAGCATGGAGAAGTGGAGGGACAACTACGACAGAGACGATCGCGAGCGCGATCGCGAGCGTGAGCGTGAACGCGAGCGTGACCGCGAACGTGATCGCGAGCGTGACCGCGATCGTGAGCGCGAGCGAGACCGCGAGCGTGATCGCGGGATGGACGGACGCTCGGTATGTTTCCTTTATCATTCGTCTGGAATTATCGATCGCGTCATTTCGGCTATTCGTTGATCCCACTTTCCACACGTGTCTCTTGACTCTTCGAGAAGACCCGTACGTTCCGTTGAGAGTAAAATTGGGAGTAAATTTTCCAGGTCGTCTTCAAGGACGTTCCTGGTGGAAATTTTTTGTCCGAATTACGTACAAACGTGAGATGTTAAGATTGTTTTATTTAAAATAATAATTTCCCGCTTGTTTATAATACAGTCGTTAAAGAACGTTGGGCAAAATCTTCATAAATGGAAGATACTCGCATTTTACCACAAATATCTTCATGAATCCGAGCGATTGCGTGTATCGATCTTCAGCTGAAAAGCTACTATTTCATCACGGGTTAGGAAAATTTCGCTTTATTTGGAACGGATTGATAGAATCATTACTTTACCAACAGACAAAATTCAGGGAAAGTCCGAAGTTAATACACATTATTATGTACATTGAACCTTAAAGGGTTGAGGACACGCGTTAATGAGCACTTGGACAAGTCACGAAAACGCAGAAAACTTTTACAAATGTATTTTTATTATAAGTTTTTAGTGTTAGTTAATTAGATATATTTTTACCAAAGCATCTAATTTTTACAAAAGCGTGCTTTTCTAAATTATTATTGCAGATACGCGAAATTCCCCGGGATACGTTGCCATCCGATCGAGACCGCGGCAGAATGTCCGACCGTCGTGGCGGCTATCGACGTGATGAGCCAATACGAAATACGAATCAGGATTGGCGCAAACGCGACCCGCCACAAGATTCGCCCAGAGATCCACCTAAGCGGGAGTAAGTATCCGAATACGAAGGGCGGTCCATAAAATTTTTCAGCGTATTGACAATAAACGTTGAACCACAGTCCGACGTAATTCCCTGTGCTGCTTTCCAGGCGAGACGAGCGCAAAGACGACAGACTTCCACCCAGGCCCGACGACAGAAGACGACCGCTTGAGGACGACGGCTGGTCGAAAGTCAGTCGGCGCTAACGATGGATTCACAGCGCTCCGTTTTAATAAAGGAAATAAAGGAAAATATTTGCTTAATCTTTGAGAAATCGTGGGATAATATAAAACAGCCCGACGAGAGGATTTATAGGATATAAGAACATTTTACTGATATCTCCAGTCCTGAACCCTCATTGTTTAAACTCACAAGTAACATCCGCGAAGTTTCCATCTCTGATTGCGATGGGACTCGGCACATTTGTAGAATAAAGTTAATCCCTTCCGGTCGAAGGAATCCCCCCCCCCCCC